GGGAAAAGACTTACAAGTTACAACATAAGATAAAATTGAAGTTGTTTATTGGGAGTAGATTATCTGAAAGGTTATAAATAGAAAATAAAAAAGAGGAGAATGTGAACAATCATGTTGTGTCTAATGTTACTATGCTTTGTTCATGAATTCAATGATGCAAACATCAAATGGGCTTACCTATGGTGTATGGACATTAAGAAAGAAGCTCTTATAGAGCATATTGTGAATTTTAAACTCGTAATAGATCCATCATTTTCTAAATCATATTGCCAATGCTGCAAACTGAGAATCAGGTTCTTGTGTAGCGGGTGGTCTGTATTTGTTGTACCGGTTTTGTTGCACCAATGGCGTTTGTATTTGATTTTGTTGTGGTTGTTGCTGGAACCGTCGAAATTGTAGGTTTTCTATCTCTCTCTCTAGCAGTTGTTGCTCCACTACATCAGTCATCCAAGATTTCCATGTCACAAAAAATATATGCTTTTTGAGCTATTACATGAACCATTTTATTTGTGCTTAGAAAGATAGTTACCGTGTTTAAGCTTTTGGATTTCTGCTAAGCTATCCAGACGTTGTTTCAAGTTTCTATTTTCCATGCTAAGCATAACCAACTGCTGATCCAAGTAGTGAATAGCTGATGACATTTCACATCCTTCTACCTGTTAAAGAGAAATCATATTATGTATATTGTACCTCACATTTATATTTAATATTTTTTTTTATAAACTCAAAGTTTAAGCCTAAATCCTGATATATGTGAGTATGGATTACGCCTTAACTATATACCATTTGGGAATATCATACTCCCAAAGGACATTGACAAGAGGCAAAATGGAACCAACTCTATATGTTAACCACTAGCGTACCACATATTTGTTAGTATTCTATATTATTAATGGAATTAAATAATTTTAAGAAATATATACATGAGTTTACATATCTTACTTGTAGTACTTGGATGGTCCTTTCCAGATCTGATATGTACTCAAGCCTTCTTAGACGTGCTCGATGAGCGTTTTGACTGTATTTTTAGATACTTTAGAATTAGATGATGCGATAATGTGAAACATATGCATCATGGACTAGGTGATGTGAGTAAAGGAAATCTAATGTTAAAATTAATCTACACAATTTATAAATGATTAGACCGAAACAAAAATGTATCATTCAATAAATTTTGTGAAAGATGAAAAAGATGCATATTTGGATTAAGTTATAGTTATGCTAGTCGAAAAGATGAGTTTTTGATAATGAGAACCTAGTTTACCAGAAGAAGGATAAGACCACTTACTGTTTGATACGTTTAGAGTCAGTCTTTGATCCATGACCATCAGTTTTTGTGGAAGCTCCTTCTTTCATTTTGCTTACATGCTTTTCAGGGAATTTAGACGTTAAGGTACCTACAATATTTACAGGTCCACATGCCACATGTGTTTGGAGATTAGTCCCATTTGTGGTAGACAGTTCCCATCCCAATTTACCATGTTTTTCATAAGAGTTAGCTTGCCACGGATCATCACGACGGTTAATGTTCCGACCTATCCAAGAAGGACCAACAATATGACCTTTCACAAGGTCATCTTCTTGAAAAGGCATAAAAGTTGAGTTCAAGTAAGCTGCTGTGTCACTAGCTGAACGTCTGTGACCCTTGTTCATCTTAGGTGATGTTGGCTCATTTAGGAGATCATCGAGCCAAGCTGGTGGCTCCTCTGCGAGAAGATCATCTAAAGAAGCATTATGGTGGTGCATATTACTAAGAGAAGAAATGGCTTTTCCCGAGTTTCTTTGGGGAACAAACGATTGTCGTTCCATAAATCCAAAATTTTTCATGTTTGATAGCTCGTTTAAACCTTCCATTCTTAAAAACTGCAAACTGTAAGATAAAGTTGATAAAAAAAACAATCAAAGACAAATTTAATCATATGATTTATTAATAAAAAAAAGTGACAAAACTTCCAATTGTTTTACTTAAATTTCATGAAGTATTAGAAAGCTTTTAAATAAACCAAAATATATAACTTTCTTTTGGAAAAATATCAAACTATAATGGAAAATACGATATAGAGCAATCAACATAATAATACTAGTAGTTCGAAATAGCATTGAGCGAAACAAGTTTGGGATGCGATACATTATCTTGAAAGTTTATTGTGAATGCTCGAATATGCAAGATGGAAAGGTAAGATAACACTTGATTTACATTCTTTTGGATATATGAAACCCCAATCAAGAACTCAAAGACCGATAGAAAAAAAGAAAAAAAAACTCTCATCCATTGTCCTCCAAAATCCAAGTAATGAAAACCACCAAATAATAAATTTCTTAAGCACAGTTTTCTTCGACGTACCTGAAAATACAAGATTGAGGAAGGGTATGATTACTAGACCTCCGACGAGGAGGAAATAACAATTCCCGCAATGGAATCTCCTCCTGTGTTCGGCCTCGATCACCCCTTTCTCCTCAAAATGCAAAAAGCAACAAACAATCTTTTGATTGCTAAATAGAGGAAGATACCATATCAAAAGAACCTACATTGATGGTTTCCATGGCGTGTTTTCCGTGAAAACAACCA